CCGCCAGCAGTACGCAAGGGTTCCCTTTTCTCCACAGCCTCACCAGCGTGTTAACTCTTGTCCTTTTCATAATGGCTATTCTCACAAGTGTGTGGTGAGTTCTCATTGTGGTTTTGGCTTGCAATTCCCAGATTAATGATGTTGAGCATCTTTTCATGTACCTTTTGGCTGTCAGTATATCTTCTTTGGAAAAATGATATGTAGGTTCCCTGCCCATTTTTAATTAGATTAGTTGTTGTTTTGCTACTGATTTGTATGAGTTTATTATATATTTTGGATATTAATCCCTTATCCAGTATATGGTTTACAAATATTTTTCCCCATTCTTTAGACTGTCTTTCCATTTTGTTGATCATTTCTTTTGCTATGCAGAAGTTTATTTTCAATGCAGTCCATTTGTTTTTTTGCTTGTGCTTTAGGTGTCATATCCCCCAAAAAATCATTGCCAAGACCCATGTCAAGGAGCTTTTTTCCTATGTTTTCTTCTAGGAGTTTTCTGATTTCTGGTCTTACTTACATTTAAGTCTTTAATCCATTTTGAGTTAATTTGTGAGTGGTATAAGATAGGGATCTAGTTTCATTCATTTATGTGTTTGCAGCCGATTTCCTCAGGACCATTTATTGAAGAGGCTGCCTTTTCTCCACTGAGTGCTCTTGGCTCCATTGTCAAATATTATGTGACCATATATATGTGGTTTATTTCTGGGTGGTTGATTCTGTTTCATTGATCTATGTGTCCATTTTTAGGCCAGTAATATACTGTTTTTATTACCATAGCTTTATAATATACCTTGAATTCAGGATTGAAATCAGGATTGCTTTGGCCATTTGGGGTTATCTGCAGTTCCATGTAAATTTTACGTTTGTTTTTTCTACTTCTTTAAAAAATGCCACTGAAATCTTGGTAGGGATTGCATTGAATCTATGGGTGGTTTTGGGTAGCATGGACATTTAAGCAGTATTAATTCTTCTAATTCATGAACATGGATACCTTTCCATTTGTGTATGTATTTAGTTTCTTTCATTAATGTCTTTTGTTTTTTAGTGTAGCTATTGTCCTTGGTTAAATTAATTCCTAACTTATTTTTTACAAGTCATTTGGCATTAGTGCAGAGAAAGACTACTGATTTTTGTATGTTAATTTTGTATCCTGTAACTTCACTGAATTTGTTGGTTAGCTAACACTTCTGTGGAGTCTTAGGATTTTCTATATATAAAATCATGTCATCTGCAAATAGTTTTTCATCCTTTTCAATTCTAATGCCTCTTTTTTCTTGCCTGCTGGTTGTCGTCAATGGGGGCATATATGGGTCATGCAGATTATTTTATACATCTGCAGTCGCTACAATATTCAAGTCATAGACTTTATTAAACCTACAAGCAACCTTGAGTCATTTCCCCTAAACCTTCATTTTACAGATAAATAAACCAGGACTCCAGAAAAACTGTCATAATTCAAAATCATATAATGTCAGAGTTGAGAGTATAACCCAGTTCTCCTCATCCTGGCACCTGCTTTTCTTTTGCCACCATATCTCTCTGACTTCATATAATATTTGTTTCAGGCTTAATACTGAGGTGGAAAAAAATTGTTTTCTTTGCACCCAATTGTGCTGGGAAGCTCTTATACATTCATAAAATCTTTGCATCAGTATGTGGTGAATTAGGGAAAAGAATAGTTCTAATTATTTGTGAACATGACTTTCCTCTCCCCTAGATTGTTTTCTTATAATGACTCACTTAATATTAAATATACATTTCTTAAAGTAGAAGCCCAATAATTTTTGTAAGAATGGAGTTGATTATAACAGAGATCATATTACCCTTCATGTTATGAAATAGTGCTGAGGATGGAGTTGTTCTTGTGTGGGAATGTTCCCAGAGACTACCTCTTCCCTTTCATATACACCTAAGGTTTGCCAGTTATTACTTAGAACCTTTTGCACTTTGGCTCAAATGAATGACCCCATCTTCACTGTATTATAATGAGTTGGGTCTATAATATGCCACAGGCATATTTCATCATTTGAATTTGTTTCAGGGTACCACTTGATCATGTGGTTCTTAATAATACTGTACAGGAAGATAGAAGCTATTAGTTAACTCCAGGGCTTTTTGTGAATAACCTCACCTTTCCATAATTTGTTTTGAGAATAGTTTAAAACAGTTTATATTACATGTACTCTGGGCTGGAATCAACTCCTACACCTGTAAAGTAAAGACACATAACCATTGTATGATTTTGTTTACTATGGAATTAAATCCCTAATTTTTATCTTAACCATGTACCAAAGAATTAGTTGGATTTTTTTCAGTTCCCTTTCCAACTTCTCTGCCATTCATTGCATTCTACAATACATACTGCTGAGTGTACCAATGGCTCTCAAATGTGTTTTGTCGTCTATGGGAAACATATCTAACTTCAGATAATCAACCTGCAAAGAATTTGGCTGAACTTACTTTGAAAAAAAAGCATCCACTTCTTAACAAGTACTTTTATAGGTACTCATGAAGGTAGTTGTCCTGAAAGTTTCTGGATAGCTATCTAAAGAGCCTTAAGCATTCGCTGCTACATCCTGAAATAACAGAGCAACAGAAGTATTCTACAGCTCCCTTTATTCAGTTGTTCATGAGAAGCAGTTTTGGGGAAGGGCAACAAATCTCTGGCAAATTAGAAATAAAGGAATATGAAAATAGAAGTTAGTAGATGGCTAAATATACAAGAATGCTGTATAATAGTTGAAAACTTTTAACATAGTGAACGATTTTCCTTAAAGATATGTCAAAAATGGACTTGAAATTTAGTAAAATGAGCAGGATGCTAAATGGTACATACTATATATACATGATTTCAAATAGGAATGTGCATATCTAAAAGATATAGAAAAATACTTAAGGACGTTATCTGGATAGTGGGATTAGAAATGATTTGCATTTCTCTATAAAACTGAAGTTCTACATTATACAAAATATTTTACAGTACACATGGATTTTCATTCTAATAACATAAAAAGGAAAGTTTTCTACGTTATAAATGCAAACATTTTTCAGATCTGATCTATAATTTTTCAGTGTCCTTCACTCAACAACACAGGAGGGAGTGTGTGTGTGTGTGTGTTAAGCTATATACTATGGTGCTGATAATTTGTACGGCTGGATTAAAAGGCCACTGAGAACAGTTAGGAGGCATACAGCATCTGGGCTTAAGATTCAGACCCCTCCTGATGTGATTCAAGGGTTCACTCCCTACCAGATGTTATTTAAACCTCTCTTCTCCTCCAAGACTCAAGTTTTTTCATCAGTGAAACCGTGATGGTAATACCTATCTATCTCTGAGGTTATAGAGAGGCTTGAATCTGAGAATCTATATAAAGTGCTTAGGACAGTGCCTGACAGAATACTCCATAAATTATAGCTATCATTATTATTGATGACCTCCCTGCAGGCCCTGCTCCGCGTGGCTTTCTCTCATATACAGCCAGTACCCTAACAATGGAATTCTCCTTCATTCTCTGCCCACTAACACACACAGCCCTCAAGTGCTCTTCTGAATGGTCATCCTTTCATATACGTAGTTTAACTATTACCTCCTCTTGCCAGGAATTTCCCCCAGCTTCCCAGGCGAAGGGAACTGGCTCCTCCTAGTTCTTTCATAACACACAGGTAAAAGCTTGTGATTGTTGAACATTTCTACTTCTCACCCACAGACTACACCATCTCTGCAGATGCAAAAAAGGAGTGAATGAATGCAAAGTAGTATAGTCTGTTTTTCTAGTCAAAAGTTGACAAGTAGATCATCCTGAAACTTTGAAAAGAGATCTTCTAGTACTCCATGCTGGACTATGATTATTGAAAGATAACAAAGATAGGGAGTCCAGAAAGGTCTACATTTGATATTGGACTGTGGTATATGCTTTTAGCAGATTACTGGAGACAAAGGCATTGTTAATAACTAACTTAATAGTTTGCATTCTCAGAATATGACAGTTCTGTGATCTACATCAAAATAGTCCCTTGCTTCCACTTTTAGGTACAGATAAGCCCCCCACCCAAAACTCTTACATCCCACTGTTTGCTTCCATGACGAATTCTCCTGTTAGTCTGATTGTAATTCCTTAGCATTATATATAGATTATATACAATATAGTCATCTCTTCACCCTATTTCTTTGTTGTTGTTTTAAAAAGCTGTTTTTCTATGGGCTAAGTAGAATGTTGTCTTCTGAAAAACAAGGATTACCTTTGCCTTATTTGAAAAAAGATTTTGTGGATGCATAAGTACTTACTATAGAGCCTTGAGAAATAACAGTTTATAATCACCATGTTTTCATCCTTCGTGGATGAGGTAATCTCTCTTCTTTTCCTGGTTTTCTTATCTCTGGCTAATTCAGGTGTTTTACGAAGATTCTCATCATTTAAACTAGATTTTTAGATTGATTTTTTTTTAAACTACCAGAAAAAATGTTAGATCGTCATTTAAAATTTTCCCATATGGTAAAGCCATTTTAAGGTCAATGTGAAGAATGCCTAATGGAAGTAAATGAAAAAAAGCTGCTTCTTCCATGAGTAAAACTAAGTTTTGAAAAATGTAAAATACTACCACCTAAGGAAAACTGCTTAAACTTTTAGCATTATATAGCTACTGGAGCCATACTTTGAAAGGCAACCGTTTTTTACAAAGTTTCATTCATAGCTATTGTGTTTTATGTAAAGTTTGGAATTGGTATTCAAGTCACAGTACGGATCAACTTCAGAAATATCCATCACTTTCTTAAAAAAAACAGACTCCAGATTGTATTTTAAAATGCAGTCCAGTAGTCTTAGGGGAGGATTAAGTTTGAATTTTTGTTTTAAACAGATGTGATGTTAAGAAAGATCTTCACGGGCAGTTCTCACAATACTGAGAAAAGGGGATGAGCGTTGAGCGAATTTCAAAAGCAGGGTTAAGGCTTTGTGCTGGGAGCATGGTCTGTCCTCACCATGTGTCTGCCCCTTTGACAGCACGCCATGCCCTTCTGGAGGATCTCCAGTCACTCGGACCTCATGGCCCTCCATCATGCCTTGGAACTGGAGTACCTGTAACAGCCACGTAGCACTTTGGAACCGCACAACTGCCCTGTGACCGGGAACAAATCCAGCAAGCCTGAGTCCTGTGTCAGCGCTGGAGTATCCACCGTAGTGATTTCAACATGTGGATGCACAGCTGCTGGGGGTCTTCACCTCTGCCCTTGCGGTAAATGAAGGACCACACCTATCTCTTCAGAACAGCTGTTGACTCTAGTACTGTGAATCCAGTGAAAATAAGCCATGAGAATGTTCTAGTACAGTGTGATGTGTCTTTACCACATTCACTACATGGTTCAAACCTGTGAAGAAAGGACCTGCAGACGCTTACATTGTTAGCATCTTCAATGTGACATAAACAGCTTCTCCGGTACAGCAAACTTGATTGCACAACAAAGACTGAAATGTGTTTCCCCGAATACCAGTGAGGGGATTTTCTTGTAAAGAAAGTTTACTTTTTTTGGTGTCTCATACCCAGGGTAATCTGTACATCTCTACTTATTTATGAACAGACTTTTTAAAAACAGCTTTAATTGAGGTATGATTCCAGCACCCTGCAATTCACTCAGACTTTTTTGACATCAATCAATTGAAGAGACGATAGCATCATAAGAAGCGATTAAAGGCCTTTGCCTCACGACACAGCAAGTACTTTGAATCTTAGCACATTGCAGAGTAAAGTATGTCTAATTTAAACGTGTAATATGTACATCACTGAGACAATCATGTACAGAGAATTTTGGGTGTAAATTTGTAATAATGGATGATTCTTTTACATATTGTTTAGAAAATGATATTGAAAGGTAGCAATGCCTTGATAGTGAAGTATGAGGCCATGTGTGCACAAAGTCATGTGCAGTGCCTTATCAAAGTACTGGGTATAAATATGTAGATAATGGAGTTGGTTTTTGTTTTGTTTTGTTTTTTTAGATAATGTTGTCAAGACCAAAAGCATGGATGTTAATAGAATTGTTTTCCAAATTATTTGTCCCATCGGTTTTTTGTTTTGTTTTGTTTTTTAAAGCTATTAGGAGGACCTTGGTAAAACAAAACAGCAGTGTCTTAAATACTTTGAAAAAAAAAAAGGCCTCTTACAACCTCACGTTTTCATTTTCAACACTAATGTATTATATGTAACTACTTGAAAAAAATGATTATGCAAATGCTTCTTCCCACAGAAAGAATGTAGATGATTGATATATTTTATTAATAAAATGGTTCATGAATTGGAGACTAGCAAAGTTTTCGTGTGCTCAGATTATAGGGTCTGCATTTTTTTGCTTAGATAAAGGAGGACATTACTGCATACCTGGAAATCAGCAAAACTTTTTGATCTGTTTTCCTCCACACATCTCCCTAAACCCCACCCTCCCTGGAAAGTTCATTGCAGGCAGTGGACATGGCCCAATACTCATCACCAAGGTTATTCTTCACTTGAATTATGTATAAAGCATAAACCTGGGAAATCAAAATTGTCACCTTCGTTATGCCATAAGACAGTTTCTCCAACAGTGATAAGTTTGGGCACTAGTTTTCATCTAAAACCTTCCCTTGTTATGAAATTACTTTTTGGATGAATTTTAATATTAATTGGGGGGGAAAAAGAAACACCAGCTTTAACCCCAAGTAGCTAAAGAGCTACTCTTTTCCCGAAGTTTCATGTTGCTGCTAGAATTAGTTGTGAATTTTCCAAATTATTTAACAATCGATTTGGGGTTTTTTTCTTTTTTTGCTTGAAGCAAACAGAAGTTGACAATTTTTTAGCCTTTTCATTTTATGTTTTTGTACTCTGCAGATTGGAAAGACAAAGTTTATCTTGACTTTACTGTATAAAGGTGTGTTGTGTCCACAATTGTGTACAGAAATTTTCTTCATTAATTTTGTGTTTAAATTAATAAAATTGATTTGTGAAGTACTGTAAGCTCCTTGAATGCATTCTCTTATCTCTTGTTTATGGGGAAGTAGGATCTTGGTTGCATTAGCATGCTTCTGGTCCAACAAAAGGAAGTGGTATGAAGTAATTGTGGTAATAATGGCTTTATCAGTCCTTGAGGGGACTAAACTAGAAGGGTAACATCTGTTTCTTTGATCACTGTAAGAATAGATGAATAAAAGAGCTCTATAATTCCTCTAAAACTATATATATAAACTGGACCCTCACTTAAATTTACTATAGAACAGAATTCAGCATCAAGAATCTGGATGGCAGAGCACCGATTTAGCCACTTAAATACTGTAGGGATAGAATGAATGAATGAATGAATGAATAAATAAATAAAAAATAATAAATAAGCAAGCAAGCAGTTTTATCTATAAAGAACACCCACAACATTTATCTCTAAAATTTGGCCAGATTAATCACCGAGAAGGAGCTATAAAACAGTACAACTTGCTTCCTCTTGGGATTTAATCTTAGAAACATTCATACATACAAACACATGAAAAATCAAACATGCACTTGTATGACTCATTTATCAGGCCCATGATATTCATTTTTCACAGGTACACACCCAGGCAAGTGGCTTGAGTAATGAAATGTGTGATCATGCTTGGACACCCTGAGAATAAAAAAAGTTTGGAGAAAGTCTTCAAAGAGATGCAAGGATGGGGAGTGGAAGGATTTTTAGGTCTCAGGTAGAGAAAATAAGAAAAATGGGCAAAATGGAGGTTATATCCTCAAAAGATAATTTTTTAAAGCAACACTTCTAAGATGACACTACCTGACCAATATATGTAAAGGGTTTCCCTTTGACCATTGATTAGAGTCCAACTTTTTCTACTTGGCGTTCTAAAGTTTCCACATATAGTATCTTTCTTCCCAACATAATCTCTCATTACTGCTATGAACAAACCTTCAGTACACATTAACTGGACTCTTTAATGGACCAAACAGCCTGTAAGCATCCCTGCTTGTTCAGAGCATTCCCATTTCTCCACCAATGACTTCCTTCACCCTCAATCCACCCAAAGGCTTTAGTGCCTTCTTTGGAGCCTTCTTTCCTGTCATGGCACACAGTGTTAGCCCCCTCTCCTGAACTTCTCCCACTCAATATCTATAGCCTCATTGGAGTTCATATTATTCCCTTCCATAAAGATTCTCTAGGCCCCCACTATGGGGAGCATTGCCCTAGGTGCTAATTAAGCAGGTCCCTGCTCCTGAGGATGGAGTTTTACTCTAAAGTAGGTAGGAATAGACAAGACATGAATGAATGAATGAATGAATGAGAAGAAAGAAAAAAGAAGAAAGAAAGAAAAAGAAGAAAGAAGAAAGAAAGAAAAGAAAGAAAAAGAAAGAAGGAAAGAGAGAAAGAAGAAAGAAAAAGGAAAGAAAGAAAAAAAAGGAAAGAAAGAAAGAAAAAAGGAAAGGAAAGAAGGAAGGAAGGAAAAAGTCAAAAACACTCTTGATGGAAAATTAAGACAGAGAATATAAGTGACAGGGCATAAGCTTCCTTGGAAAGGATGGACAGAACCATAATGTATGAACTGAGACCAACTGCTAAGAAATAGGCAGCATGTGAAGATCAGGGGCAGAGCATATAGGCAAAGGTCCTCAGAGAAGAATGTTTCTATTTATTGTGTTCTAGGAGTGAAAATCATGCCCATGGGTCCAAGAAAAGATGACTTTGAAAAGGGAGACCTTAAAGCCTTGAAGTCATGGTAAGGGATTTGGATGTTATTCTAAATGGATTTGGGAGACGATTGAGAGTTTAACACAGGAGTGTGGCCAAATCTGACACTCTTGACATGATCACTCTGGCTGCTGGGTGTAGAATGGGATGTCAAAAAGCAAGAAAAGAAATGGGAAAGCAAGTTACTAGCCTGATAGGAAAGAACCAGGTCCTTGACTGCACAGACCATTTATCAGGGCACTGCATTATTCTGGCTTAGTCAAAAAAACAAGGTGAAAATGACAGTCCTGTCCCTGACCCCAAGCATTCAGATGGCAATTTAAAAAAGAATCAATTACAATTATAAAAACAGGCTTCCATGAGCAGTAGGGATGGATGTGAAGCGGGGCTGGCATGGGAAGCCTAGGCAGGCAGGGGACGCTTCCCCGCAGAACTGACCTCTAAACCAAGACCTGAAGGCTAGAGTTGGTCTGAGCCGAGGAAAGAGAAGGTGGAGAATATGAGAGAGGCCTTGAGTGGACAGAATGTGGCAAGGGAAGGAGAGAAGAAAAGGAAAGCCGTGGACTATGGGACTGATCGCCGTTGAGTGAGGGTAGAAGTGGCCAGAAGAGGGAGGGGCACAGGCTTTATCTATCCTTCATCTCAGAGCACTTCAGGCTTACTGCTTTTACTACATGAGTTGGACTGTTCCCCTGCCTTTATGGGAGAAAGAAAAGGAAGGGGATAGGAACAGAAATTTCATTCAGTCTCCTGCACACACAGCCTGGAAACTTTCATTGTGTCAGTGGTTCTACAGGAGACTTAAATGTTAGGTCTAAGTAGTGTTTAGTTGAGCCCCTTTTAATTTACAGATTACAAAACTTGGGTTAAATGCTTCGCCAAGGGTCACGGCCAAATAAGGCAGAGTCACGACCCCAACCGACTCTTGGATACAACACAGAATCATGGAAAGACCACGAGCTCCAGGGGCAACAAAACATTGGCTTTACCTCCCTGCTCAGTCACTGCCTACCAGGGTGAGCTTAGGCAGCCCTGCTCAGTTTTCAAGGCTTATTCAGTGCCCTGTCCACACAGTTAGTACAATTTCCCAATGATGTCTTTTTTTAAAAAACCTTAGCACCTTAATTCCATGTCATCTTTTCAGAGGTTGACTTAAAAGTTATCTTCTAATAAGTATTTACAAATGTCAACTTTTAGCAATAACTTGTAAAATTTGCTTTTGCGGAGAAACTATGGACTCTCAGAAACAAACTGAGGGTTCTAGAGGGGAGGGGGGTGGGGTGATGGGTATTAAAGAGGGCACGTTCTGCGTGGAGCACTGGGTGTTATGCACAAACAATGACTCATGGAACACTACATCAAAAACTAATGATGTAATGTATGGTGATTAACATAACATAATAAAATAAAAATAAATAAATAAAAATAAAAAATATTTGAATGTGACATGGGTGTTTCCCAATTCGAATGACTATAAAGGAGGCCATTTACTTAACAGAATGTGGAGAGATGATACTACAGGTGTTGTGTGTTAAGACCTATGGGAAATTTCCTTCGAGACACTGGAACTTACCCACACCACATGCAGCTATGAAAGAGTCAACTGGAATAGTCCTGCCCATCCCATTCAGGAGAGTTTTTTGACAATCCAAAAGGATAGAGTTGGTAAAAGCACTTCTTTCAGTGTCTCTCAGAATGTTTCCATTTCTCTCTATTCCGTGCAATTATACAAACTGACAGGATAACTTGTGGCAGAAGAAATGAAAGGGTTTGTAATTTAGGAAACCTTTGGCCCCACTGACTGAAAGCAGGTTGTTTGTAAAAAGGAAATCCTGACCTCAACTAACTGGCAAACTCTGTCAGAAGCAATAGAAGGAAGCAAAGGAAAAAGAACAGCGCCGGGGATTTTTTTGGCAACAGAAGAAAAACGGATGCTCTGCCAGAGGAAAGCCCTTCGAAGAGAACTCTCCAGTGGGGGAACAAGACATGCCCAGAGTTACTGAGTGTGTGACTGCACAATTGCATGGTGGTTCTGTTCTGGTTCTGTGGGCTGGTTTGACTGGGGGAGTTTGCTGCATGAGGACAATGGCTAGGCTGACAACCCTGAAAATGGATTTCCCCCAATCAGTTGAAGTTGGGGTCCCGCTTCTGCTACAAGCACTCCATGGCCTGCCCCATCTTCTATCTTGGCTTGACATAAAGCTCCAAGGACCATGGCCAATGGAGTGTGTACGAGGTGTACAAGGAGATAAACTACCTAATGTTTTCCATGTTAGTGCTGTCCATCGACTCACCCTCAGTAACTTCCTCCCTCTATGTGCTATTTGTGTGGCAGGACTCAGCAGTGACCTCTGGGTAACTCCATAAAAGAAAGG